GGGCCCGTGTGTCCCAGGACCAGCATTAGCAGGGCCCCAAAACAGGGCAGCAGGGGTACAGGGTCCCAGCTGGCAGGGGCTCTATGGAGCTGGGCTGCAGCAGCTCCCCCCTCTCCCTGCTGCTGCAGCCCAGCCTGGCACCACAGACCCCTGCCAGCCTGTGTCCTGCTTTGGGCCCCACCGGTGCTGACCCTGGGACATCGGTCCCAAGATGGTGCCCAGGGGGCGGGGTACCTGTCAAGGGGCGGGGCCACCCATGTGACGCTCAACAGCTTGCCAAAACTGGGTAAGTGGCCCTCTGCCCAAAATAATTGCCTGCCCCTGTTATAGTGTGTCATAAATCCAATGTCTGTATTGAGTCCATGAGTTTCTGTATCTAGGAGGTTGCTGAAGTGAAATTCATAGGCTCCTCTGTGAAAAGTGGTTTGTAAATTCAAACAAGCACTGAACTTCACTAACCTCATCACCAGAAACCAACTTCCTATAGCCCAACACACACTGAATGAATCCAGACCATGCCATGACAAGAAATACAAAACCTGCCAACATACTAATCTAATCTATTACAGACAAGAATACCCAGCTACCTGTGTGGTCACATTTCTCGTGAAAAAGCCACTCTGTCTCCAGTCTCTCAGGCCTGATCCTCAAAGGGAATTTACAAACCACTTTTCACAGATGAGCCTATGAACTTCACTTCATCAACCTCCTAGATACAGACACTCAGGGACTCAATATAGACATTGGACTTATGACACATTATAACCTGCCCAACATCTGACTCCTCAGGTACCTCTCCATGTTTACCTGCTATTTCCCACTTCCCTCCACTCCCCCCACCCAGCCTGTCCCTCACCCCTTAACACCTCAATTTACCTTTTCACTGACTGGCTTTTTTGCCTGCACTGCATGCCAGCCTCTGGCTTCTTCACTATTCATTCCAACCAGGAAGAGCAGGGGGTTTTCCCAGTGAAGGTGAGATTCCAGCCCACCCACCTGTTTCTGAGCCAACTGCCCACCCCTCTTTCTCCTGCCACACCTTGATGGAAAACTGCTTCAGATGTTTCCCAGGTGGGACGCTGCCCATTTAGGCACCTGATGTCTAGGGGTGATATTCATCCATTCCACAGCTTCTTACCTTCCCTAATACTGTGGTCCATGTCTCTCAGATGGCATCCCAGGCAGCTAAGCTCACCTGGAGACTCACAACTCCACTGTTGTGTGGAGGCACGTGGAGCTTGGGGAACCCTTTAGGCCTCAAAGATCTTATAGGTCTGGGCTTTCTCTAGCCAGCACTGTGCGTTCGTGTGGTGGCTGGAGGTTATAAGGCACCTCCTACCCACTTTTCATCAAGGAGGTTTGCGGTCCAGGCATTTCTTATGGGCTGCCATGTCACCGGTAGTCCCACCAGGCCTCCTGACCCTGGAAGGGTGCAGTTTTAGTCATGCCTAGGACCTGGGGCCTCCTCCTCACTCACAGCCCCAGCCCATACCTCCAAGTTCATCCTGGCACAGGAGCTCAGCAGGGAGATGTTCTTCCTCTGCTGGCTGGTGATACAGTGAGTGCCACCTCCAGCTCTGAGGCTGGGGCATTAAATGGTTTTTAAAAAAAAAATTAAAAAAGGAAATAGGTGCAGACAGAGTGAGGAGGATGGCATTCACTCCGTCTACACATGGAGGTTGGGCAACCCCAGCAGCGGGAGGTCCACCTTGAGGAACACCAGCTGCTCCACCAAACCGGGATCCAAGGAGAAGAGGCGGGGTATCGCAACATCCCCAGCAATACTGAACACCCGCTTGCTCGGAACACTTTTCGGTGGACAGGACAGGTGTTCCTGGGCAACCATGACCAGATCCTGCCACATCTGGCTGCAGCTTGCCCAGTAGGACAAGGGGCTGCAGAGCAACAAGTCCACGTCCTCGGCAAGATAAGTAGCCACCAAGGCCTTGGCACTACCTGCTCGATGCTGGGGTCTGGTGCCTCTGGAGCCCAACGTGGAAGCCATGACCTTGACCCACATTGGCAGTGCCTGTGGTGGAGGAGGAGACTGGCTGGTGGTTGGAGTGCTGGCACAGGAAAGTGGGTCCCCCTCTTCCATGTCCCCCCGTGTCTGCCCTTCTGCCTCCCTGACCCTGTTCACCAGAACCTCCATCCTGTGATCCAGGGTTTTGCTGCCGCAGATGCTCCCCTTCACCCTTGGGTCACACATGCCCGCCAGCACGTGGACCATACTAGACTGCAACAGATCCAGACATTTCTTGATGCCCTCCTTCAGCCGCTTCACCAATGCCTGCACCTCTGGTGACAGCGGCTTGCCCCAGGCAGGGACATCAATCCCCTGGAACTTCTCCATTTGGTTCTGAAGCTCCCTCACTATGGGGATCACCTGGCTAAGGAGGGTATCGGCAGTGCTGAGGCTTTCGGTGGCCTCAAAGAAATGGCTTGAGGACCACCAAGATCTGGGAGATGGAAAGAAATGGCTTGAGGAACACCAAGATCTGGGAGATGGGATCCCACTCTGTTTTGTTAAGGGGGCCGCTGATCCAAATCTCCCTGAGCAAGACCGTTGCATGGATGGCCTTCTGTTGCTCAACCAGCCTTTTGAGCATCAGGTATGTGGAGTTCCACCAAATCTCCATATCCTGCATGATGTGCTGCTGGATGCTCAGCTTTGCCTGTTTCTCAAACAGTATCTTGCCCCTCTTGATGCTCCGGTGGAAGTAGCCCGCCACCTTCCTGCATTTTGAAATGAGCTGGCTGGTCATGGTAGTGATGGCACCATCACCAGCAGCCCTGTCCCCTTGACTATGAGGTGGAACTTGTGTGCCATACAGCGGATGCCAAAAAAGTTGGCATCACAGACCACCTAAAATATATTGGCCCCATTGTCAGTGACCATGAACCCATAGGTGAGCTCACCCTGCCCAACGAGCCACCCCTGCACCATGCAGTTCATGGCCCCCATGATCTCCCTTACCATGTGGCTCCTTCATCACCTCCGCTTGAAGGAGAGCCCACCGATGGCCTGATTGATCGCACCAGTGCCTTGTGAGGGAGACATAGGCATGATCTCCACCCCAGAAGCTCCAGATGTCCAAGGTGAAGTGTAAGGCCACCTCCGGACCTGCCTTGTGCAGCACCTCCCCTCAAGTACTCCCTGATGCCTCATATAGGAAGAGCACCACTGTTCTGCTGAAGGTGGTGCATGCGGGCACGTGGTATGATGGGGTCACGATTGCCATGAGTTGCCTGAACTCTGGCCGCTCAACTAAGAATAAGGACTGTCCATCCAGAGCAAGCATACCCACAATGCTCTGGGTGACCTCACTTGCCTTGGGAATGCGCCCCCCTTTCCTTCTGCCTTTCCCCCACTAATCCAGGGTGGTCTGCCTCTGCTTCTGGGGGATGGGAGCTTTGGAGTGAGAGGGGAACTTTCCTTTGGCCATGCTCCCACTGCGGCCAGGCAGAGGAGGAGCAAGAGCAAGGGGTGGTGCCTCCTGATCTGCATCAGCAGCCCCATGGTGCTAAACTGTTTCTTGTCCTTGCCCTGGCTGGTCTTCCATCAGCAGCACAGGCAGATTGCATACTTGGGATCTTTTGCCACCTCAAAATGATCCCATACTACACTACCCCCTCACTTCTGGGGTGTGGGTGGGGATCCTGCCTTATCCCCCTCCTCATAGAGTCATAACAACAGGGAAAGCTGAGACATTTGCCCCCACAACCTCCTCCACAGCACATTCCAGAGAAGGAGACCAGGCTCTAGGGGAACTTTGAGGGGTGTGGAGCACAAACTCAGATTCCCACTCCTTCCCCAGAATTTCCCTGGCTATGGCACTGAGCTCCCCTGGTTCCATATCCAGCTCCTCCTCTGGCACTGGAAGGCTCACGCTGGGAACTGAAATTGGGCTGGAGGAGATGGTCATGCCGGTGCTTGTCATGCTGGTGGTTATTATTACTGCTGGTGTTAGTGGAGGTGGGGCAGGGGCAGATACTGCTCCCACCTCCTTGCTGCCACTAGCAGCAGAAGCCTCATGCCTGCCAGGGAAGAGGGTGTGTCTAAGTTTGGGGGGGTGGAACTTACAGCTCTCCCTCTGCTCACTCTTGCTCCCCTGGCAGAAGACCTGGCACCTGCCTTTCCAGCACACTTCATAATGTTTGCTGTGCTGGAAAATGTGTGTGTGTAATAGCAGGAGCCCTGAAGGCTCAGATCTGTGTTTACTATATCTTCTTCTTCTATCTGCTTCTTTGACTATATCTATGTGTTTACTATATCTTCTTCTATCTGCTTATTTTACTATATCTTTTATTTACTATATCTTCTTCTATCTGCTTACTATATCTTGTATCTGTAATATATTGGAAAGTTGTGTCCAATCCTTTCCAAAAAGAGAGACTGGCAGGAGACTGACTAGAAAGCCAGTCACCGGAGCCAGCCACAGTACCTTTCACATGCTGTTGCTTCCAGAGAGACAGCTCACAAAAGGGACAAAAAGGCTTCATACGGAGCCTTATATGCTATTTCTCCATCCCTCCCCCAGAGCACTGGGATTGGAAGGGACCTCAGGGACAGATTGCAGACACTGGCCAGCTACAGATGTCAATATCAGAGCAGTCCTTCCCCCTGCCTCCCTCTCCTGAGTTTCTGTTTTCCTGCAAGCCTGCCTCCGAAACTCCAAAATTTTCTAAAACATTTCTGAAATGTTTTAGATGGTTTCGTTTCATTTTGGAGATGTTTCAGAGCCTTCCGTTTCATTTCAGATTCAGTGTTTTGGGTGCTGAAGCAGGCTGAAACACCTCTGAAATGAAATGGCTGCCAAAATTTTGCACAGCCCTACAAGTCATATTCTACGTTGCCTTTTAGTTTCAAGGGATAATTAAATAGGAAGATTATTTCAATCTCCTAATATTTTTTATTAATAATGACATTTTAAATGAGTAATGGAAAATATCACAAACAAAGGATAAATCAATCTAAGAAAAGGTTCTTCAGTTGTTACCTGGTCAGCTGTGGTGTCAGAAGAGATTACTAGTACTACGTCTCCTCGTTTTAAATTAAGCTCATCATTATTAGCTGCCTCAAAATCATGTAAAGCTTCAACCTGAAGGAAAGAATACAATACATGTATGCATCATCTAGAGTACCAGGAAAAGTAAAGCAGAAACAAGCTCTCCCAACAAAAATCTCTTTTCCCCTCTTGCAATTAAGATTAACAATGTTCACTGATACTATACTCACCACCACACAACAATAGGATTAAACTATATTGAAACTGATCATTTTAAAAGTTCAAGAGTATATGCTATATTAACAGATCCATTGATGTCAGTATTTTATTATGTTCCATTAGTTTTTTCTATTAAGTAAAGAAGAATAGTTTTTTCCATCAGTTTTTTTTCTATTAAGTAAAGAAGAATACAAAAATTTTGCTATTCAATCATTTCTACAACCACTAGCTGGCACTTCCATATCAAACCAAACTGTCAGGGCCTTGATGGCATGGGAAGTTGTACCATTCTGTAACAACTACCTCTCAGACAAATCTTGCTTTCTTTAGTTCTTATTCTTGCAAATCCCCCACTGTTGTCCACAGAAGCTGGCCTGAGTAAGGAGGCAGGATTGGAACATCTCTTTTACACAAACTGGGCAGACTGTTGAGAATCACAATAATGTACTTGTGCTATCTTTAAATCCAGACACTTGATTTACATTGAATGTAACTAGTTCCAGGGCAACACTATAATAGTCCAATGTGCTGTCAGGATGCATCTACACATGCAATTAATGTGACTGAACAAGCTCTAGTGAAATTTTAGCCTGAGTAAACTAATCCTGGGGCAGGTGGATGGACTTGATGATCTTCCAAAATCCCTTCCAGCCCTAATGTCTATGAATTTACTCCACTGTCAGATAGTACCCATGTCTGACAGGACTATCCAATGGCACTATAAATTAATCTACCCTGGCCCAGTCACTGCACGCATGCAGATGGTGATGCTTTCCTGTACAGTAAATTAGTCTACTGAGCAGTAAAGTCCATATGTAGATGCACCCTCAGAGAACTAGATGGTAGACCTAACTCCTAGTTTCTATCCTTTACTCAAGAGAATGTGGTGAAAAATAAGACGATAGAGAAACATTATCAGCATATCTGAATCAGTCTCTCATGACTTGTCTCACTCTTACCTATATAGAAGACAAGACAAGGTGGCACCTTGGAGACTTACTTGTTCAGAAAGGCACAAGCTTTCATGGGTGGCAGCCTACTTTGTCAGATATTATGAATGGAGTCATAGAGAGCTAGAGTACCTGTCGCGGCGCACCCTGCTGCCCCGCTCCTAGAGAGGGGAAAACTGCTGGGGAAAAGCCCTAGCAGCGATAATGAGTACAGTTGTGGGTTGCCAGGGCAACTAATAAGAGTCAGCTGCCTGTAGGGGGCAGGGCCTGGCTCCTATAAAGCCTAGAGTCAAGGCCAGGCTAGCAGTTCCCTGCCAGCAGCTAGAGAGGCAGGGGCAGGGGCAGGGGCGGTTATAGCCAGGAGGCTCTAGTTTATGTTTGTGTTATTGTGTATTACACCGGTGGTTTGGGTGAGGCTATAGGGGTTGGAGGAGGCCTCATAGGGACCCCAGAGGTGTGGGGGCCCTAGCGCCAAGAGGGTGCATTATCCTCAAAGGGATCCACAGTGGTGTGGGGGCCCTAGCGCCAGTGAGGGATGCAACTTGCGGGGTGTGTAGACCCCAGCCCGGAGAGGGGCATTTAAAGAGCTCAGTGTGGGCACAGCAAGTCTTAAGAGAGGGGTGATTTTAGTAGGAAGCCCAGGCTGGGCATAGAGAGCCCCAAATGGGGGGGTGGTATTACTAAGGACCCCAGCAGGGGCCTGGAAGGTCCCAGAGAAGAGGGACCATTGTGAGGCCCAAGACGGGCAATATGTGAGAGGCCCAAAGTGGGCAATATGTGAGAGGCCCAAGAGGGGCCAGATTGAGAAACCCAGGACAGGAGTAGCGAGCCCGGTAACAGGCTAGCACTACGAAAAACCCAGGACAGGGGCAGGGTGCTGCGGTGGACCCAGACAGAAAAGGTTAGCAGTACAGCGCCCCAAGAGAAGGGCGGTGTTGCAGTGGTCCCCAGAAAAGGGGATAGCAGCACAGTGTGCCCGTACCAGAAAGGGTAGCAGTGCGGTGGGCCTAAAGGACCGGAGACTCGCTAGGGAGTCCCGTAGCGGGTTGGGTTATTTTAGAGAAGTCCCAGTGGGGGCTCGACGAGAGTCCCAGTGAGGGGCTGTATATTGGAGAGAGCCCGGGGAAGCGGGCGTGTTGACACACCAACGTCTATCACATCTGCGAGGCTTGGGGCGTGGTATTAGGGGTTGGTAGGAGCCACATGTAGCCCATAAGGCTAGGGTGCCTGGGGAGCACCCATCAGACCGGGAGACCCCCAGGGGGTCCGGGAACACCCGGGGACAGAGGTCCCAGCTATCCGTGCCCAGGGAGTCATAAGGCAGCCTCCCAACATATATTAAACAGCAAAGACGTGGCGGGCGAGAATCGAGGGTGCCCTTGGGCCGAATTGGCACGGAGAGAGGGCCTTAAGGAGATCACGGCCCTCCTATAGGACCCCGCCGTGACAGTACCAAACAGAAAGGAATAAAGTAATTTAAATAAATGCTTGCATTTGTATTTAAATAAATGTAGTCCTTTCTATTTAGTACCCTGGCTTTCTGTGAGGCCATACAGAGCATCTGATGAAGTATGCTGTCACCTACAAAAGCTTATGATTTTCTGAATGAGTTAGTATTTATTGTGCCACCATGGCCTCCCTTCTACTTAACTTCAGACTTACATGGATAACTACCTCTTTCTTGCCTAAGTTTTATTCTGAAATTATGTAAAGTATTTGTATATGAGAACAGATGAATAAATCTGTTGAGTATAACAACGGACTGCAATGGGACTACTTAAACTGAAATATGCAAATTATAGTACAAAATAGGAGAAGCTTATTTATCCTTAATGAGTTTTCCTATTAGTAAAAAATTTTGAAATGAGAAATATCATTAGAATCTAAAGAACCAAGAAACATGAAGGTTCTTACCACCCAACTCTGAAGGCTGAATTTCTTTTAACTGCTTCTAGAAATCTGATGCTTTTCTGTATGATCAGCTATTCTTACAATAAATACATTCAGAGAATGAAATCAACAATACAATGACATCAATTTCAGTAGGTTTTTAGCGACGGATTTTAGTGCCAGGAGGGGACCTTTATGGTCATGTAATATGACTCCATGTATAATGCAGGCCATTGAATTTATCTCAATATATTAAAATAATGTAGTTATTTATTAGAAGAATATAGTTGCACATTTGACTGAACTCCAGAACTGGATATGAATGCATAACACACATTTTACTTGCACTGATGTTTCACCAGCTTTCTTATGTAAAAAACTAAAAAAAAGGAAAAATACAAAAAACCTAATATAAGCCAAACTCAGGCTGAAATGTTTGGTATTTAACAATGCAGCCCTACAGCTTAAAAAGACTGTGCCACTGAATTTTAAATCTAAAAGCTAGATTTAAAGGGATATTTGAAGAATGTAAGAATAAATACTCAAGTAAACCTTAAAGAGAAATCCAGGTGGCATTCCACTGGCTGCATCCTCTACTGATACAGGTAATTCTGGAGAAGGTGTTGCCTGGGTTTCCTCAATGGTTTTCTGCTCACTTACAACTTCAGAAGTTTCACTAGTATGACTTTCAGTGCCCTGAGTGCTAATGTCTTCCACAACATCTTTGGACTCATTCATTATGACTTCATGTTCTTCTCCCTCCCCTTCATTGTTTGATGCTGGCTCTATTACTACTGAAGGGATGCTGCTGACTTTTTCCTGGGGAAACAAAAAATTGAAAGAACTTTTTGAACAAAATCTCTTCCTATAAGATTGCATGAAAACCTAACTCTTTTAAATTGCTCATCTATCCAAACTAGAAAATAGGAATATAATTTCCTCTCACTTACAGAGACCTAGTCTCCATTCTTGCGTATTCTCTACATTTCCACAAAAGACAAAGAACACTTGTTATAATAAATTATACAAGATACTCTGCACCTAATTCTAGTTTCACCTAGGGCTCTGTTTAGTATCAATGGAAATTAAAAGAGTCTTTCTATTGGCTTCAGATCAAGCCAATACATTGCTATAAACCAGGATCAACTCCACCGAAGTCGATGTAGCAACAGTGAGAAAGCCTTGTAAGAATTAGGCATTCTATATCCACCTGCATAAGTTTTTACAGCACTATAAATCCACTGGATTCCAACGACTTACTCTTGATTAGCATGATGATAAATGAGAGCAAATGTGAAGCTCCACTACAAATATTACCATCAGATTAAAAAGATTCAGTTCAAAAAGGATTTTGTCAAGCTGTAATTAACACCCCCCCCCCCCCCCCAAAAAAAAAAAATTGGACTAAAGCTCTAGGCCTTAGCTAGCATTTGTGGCTCTGAAAATCACTCCCACTGAGCACTCACCACTCCTACTGGCTTCAATGAGAATTACAGGTACTTGTCCTCCCTAATCACCAGAGCACTTGTTTTGACTTATTACAAGAAAAGTGCAGATAGCTAAGATTTCCATTTGAAGCATGAATGAGCAATATTTGACAAACCACTTCTCTCCAGATTTATAGTTAATGGGATGAAATATCTTCTGCTTACATTTAGGATTAATTCAGCATATGATATGCATTTGAAAGTGTATCTATGAACTAGAAAATCATCTGAAATTATTCTGGGAACGCTGAGTCAGGCTTCCAGCTGGTGCCATTGAAAACAATGGAGTTACTTTGGCTTTACTTACAACAAAACAGGGTCCATTATGGGTAAAGAAAATGTCGTGTCATAGGCCAAACCAGGAAAAATAAACCATTTTTTGGATAATGCTATATAAAAAGCATCTCCCCAAAGAACTTACTTGAGAGACTTCTGTTTCCTTTTCTTCTTCTTCTTCATGAGGTTTTTTGTCACCTTCATCAGCTATTTCAGGTTCAGGTGCAACAACACCTTCGTCAGCTTCTGTTACAACAGTTATACCAGCTTCTTCAGCCGGGCCAGAAATCTTGGTGAGAGTAACCATCTGCGACCAACAGGAAACAAACCATTCACATATCTCAGCCATACTGGGCATATGCTGCATACCAGCTGCACAGATGCCACTCCACAGAATTATGCCTGGTCTTTGATATAGATTTTGACTGTTCTGAAAGAAACTTTATTCCTTCACAAATGCCTGCAGGTGGATTTTCCATGACAAATCATCCTGTGAGATGAGTAACAGAAGAAGTTGATATCATTCAAGGTTAAATTAAATACAACAATATTAAAATCCGAATGATAATATGGGATATCCAGCTATGTTGGGATAAAAACCAAAACATAATTAAAAAAATCTGGCAGCTGTAAGCTCCCTAGGTCTGGGCACTTCTAAAACATTTAATCAGAAAGTCATATACAAGGTTTGCTTGCATTTGACTCTGATTTTTCAATGCTGGATAGAAAAGTACACCAATTTGGCTAGGCTACAGGTGAATATGAAAGGCTTCATCCAGCAGAGATTACTCCCACAGGCTTCTTGGTTATTTCAGTCTCTCACATGCTGGAAACCTTGCGGGGAAAATGTAATTGAAGTTTGGCAATTATCAGCCCTATTCGTCTCACCTAGGGTTTCATCTCAAGAGTCTAGGGAACTGATTAGCACAGACCCTGCTCTTTAGTTCATTTAGCTTAATATAAAGCTGAAAGTGAATAATAGTTCTATTGCCTAGGATTTGATCCTAGATGAAGCCAATCATGTTGCAGAAATAATTAACATTGGGTTGGCTCTTTGTTAACTGAGCTGGCTCCTGATGGGTACTCAGGGTATCATGAGGCAATAAAGGAAATAGCCTTGGTCTGCATGAGTTTTGATGAAGGAGAATTTTTATTCTGACAGCAGATTCATTTCAGTGTGTGTATAATGTAGAATGGAGTTACATGCTGGAGAGTAGGCTGCCGAGTCCTTCCCACTGCATCTCTGGATTGAGCCCAGCTTGAACTTTTATTTAACCTGGTGCAGATGCTGCCCAGGTTACTGCTCTGCTGCATTTATTGAGGTGACTGCCCTTTGGCATCAGTTCAGACAAAGGTATTTTGGACTTGCTCGTGATTTCATGCTCATAGCGACAACCCTGGGCCATATTACAAGTGATCTGAGCCTCTCTACCCATTGTTGGGCATACTCTAGATTTTGAGTGGAATTTGGTAGCAGAGGAAAAGAGTCTATGGAGGTCTTTAAACAACATTTTTCTTTTGGTCACACTGCTCCTTCCACATGCTTAAAGGTTAGGGATTATAAGGTGGGGGAAGGGGATAAACTTGTTTTAAATATCTGCCTTAGATGACAAAGGGAACTCACTGAATTTCTGAAGTCTATAATGGACAACAGAATCTGCTGGTGACTCACTCTCAGCAGGCACCATGATTATCTGATACTGTCCTAGGCAACTAATAAAGTGGCTGCTATGAAGTCCCTATTTGTATTTCATCTTATATTTATAGGTCACATTGTTTTACAGATGAAACATGGGCTGGGGAGTATATGGCAAAAGGCAAAACTCATAGCCCAAAGCCAATCAACTGGCAGTATGGACCTCCTAATGTTATACTATGTTGGTGCTGGCGGGGAAATTATTTTCTTTCTTTAGTACCATTGCATCAATCAATTAGATTGCCTTTAACAGAGGGGTCTTGTTTCAAATCAGAACTTTGCTGAATCAGTCTGATTTGGCTGCTACTGTATTGTTGCCAGGCTTCTGGACATTACCCTGGTTTCTCCTGTTATTCATTTGTAGTGTAAAGAACTCATAAAGAAATCTTTCTAATTTTCTTTGAGAAGATAAGATAAGCTACAAGATTTTGTGTGAGCTTATAGAGTGACTAATTTTAACCAAGCCTGATACCAAATCAACTATACATTGCTGTGGCCATAAGTGGCATTGCATTATCCTAGCAAACTTCAGTATCTTCACATGTGATTTGTGAGGGAAGCCTTCAGGCTTGCTATTCGTAGCACTACCAATTTCAGCATTCTTGACCCAAGAGATTAAAATAAGCTATGGCTGTAGAAACCTGGGGAAAGGAAAGGGAAGGGGAGTACACATCAGATTGATTTTATATAGTATGCATCTAACAAAATACTACAGAAATTGATCCTGCTATCTGATGTGTTAGGATCAACACTTCTTCCCTATTTATTGGATTTGTGCAGCCCATTGTATTCCATTCAACAGGAGATTCATGGTTTTACATATATCAACTCTAAATACAGTACACTGGAAAGGTCAAACTCCTACAAACTGTTGTTATAAGTCACTAAATGCATATTGCATATCAAAACCTGTGTAATAACTCATTCTTGTGACTCGGACTACAACAACGGTAGAAAGCTAGACCAAGAAACACCATTTTTTGCAAAGATGACCAAGGAAGCAACAGAAAAAGAATCAATTTCTGTCTCTCATTTTGAACTTTAATACTAGTTCAAGATTTTGAGATTAAAATATTTAGGACAAAACTCCAGCTCTGAAGACCACAGTAAAACTCACATTGAATGCAGTAGGATTTCACCTTAATGAGTTACAGTGAATCACAGAGGCCCTTGGACATTTACATGTGCTACTTTATTTCATAGGATTAACAAACCTTGTTGGTAAATCTGCTCCCCCAAGGAAAAATGAATACAAAATAAAGAATTGTACAACAGTCCACAAAATCCTAAATTGCATAAACCTTCTGGGAAGAGCCTTTTTATTTTTATGGGTCACATAATGCAAAAGAAGTGGGCATGTAAAGAAATTAAAGGTTGAATTCCTTGGAAGCAATAACAGAAACAGCTTCTTTACCCAGGACATTCAATATACTAAGTCAGAATCTCTTCTCAGCAACAGCAGTGTGAATGAGGAATAACTCCACCAAATTTAGTGATTCTGAACCCCACCAAATTCATTATACTGGAGTACAAGTGAGATAATGGAACTGGTTATTGGAGGAAGACTATGAAATAAACATTGATCCTATTGACTTGAGCAGAATTATGCTAGCTTTCAACAAGTAATGATCAGGCCCCATGGAATGGATAACTGTTAAGAACATTTATTATAATAGCAGCTAAACAAGTTAATGTAAAGCAACAAGAAAATAAAACCCATGCTTGAGGGCATGAATCAGTTGCTTTTAGAGGTCTAGAGAGATTTCCCACATGTAGTAATGCACAGCCAGTTAAGGGAAGAGGAGGTTGCCTCTCTCTTTCTCTCAAGCATCATGTATTGTCTTTTGCTGGAGTCAGTATATCAGACTAGGCTGACTTTCTGGTTTGATTTTACATAACAGTTCACATGTATTAAGCAAACCTGAAATCTGAGAGTTAAAAAGTACGCATCTATGTAAGGGCTGAATGTACCACATACAAGAGCCTGAGCTTATATAAATATACACTATATAGGGCTCTTGTGAAACAAGTACATTATGAGAAAACTAGTCCCTCCTTGCCTGCTAGGAATAGTTCAGGATTTCCTAGGTGCACAGTGCTGGATGAGAAGTGGTCAGGAGAGATAAGCCAAATGACCATAGGAAGCTGTATTTGGTACTCTTCAAACACTCAGGTAGACCTTGATTGATATGTAGAGTGACCACACATCCCGTTTTCTTTAAGACAGTTCTGTTTTAAACACTTGTCCTAGGTATCCCATCATTTGAATGCTTTTTGTTCCTCTTTCAGTAACATGCCTGGGAGAGGTGCTGATAAAGGGATTCTCCCACTTCCCGGCACTCCAAATAATCCCCCTCCTCCCCACTCCCACCCTGGCTTCCACTCTCAAGAGACAGCTGAGCATGCAGAAGAGTGGCAGGGGAAGAGGGGCGGGGGGGGGGGAGGGTCGGAGGGAGGAGCAGACTGCTCCAGCCTGAGACTAGGGACATATGATTAGGCTATTGCTGCATTACTCCAGTTTAATGTTTCTGTAATTCTACTGAATTTCAGTACAGGTGTCTTGGTGTAAAGGTAGAGGAATGCAGTAATGAAGTGGGCCCATCATTCTTTTTGAATGAAAAAATCATCATGGCATTTCAGGGCCGTGTGCTCTATTCACAGACAGTATTAAAATTTAGTAAAGCAAATAACAACATTTTATCCTCGAAATACATTCTGAAAAGCTTTACTAACTCTAGTAGATTTAATCTGAATTTACACCACTGTTACCAAGAGCAGAATCCGAGACATGGGAGTTATAGCAGACTAAACCTAGAGTCAGTGGTGAATATGATCTTTTAGCAAATATTTTAATATCAGAGTTCATATTTTTATAAAAAGAGAGGTGGTCAACCTGTTGGAGGTTTAAACCCAAACTGAGTATTAATGGAGAGGCACACCCTTCTTTTCAAGCCCTGCTTCCTATTTCTGAATTTAATTCACAGGGACTAAGCCTGAACTCCCCCTTGTGCTACTTGGATATATTTTCGAACATCTTTTCAAGATTACACTTTAATAGGCGAAGATCCAGAATAAGAAGTACAAGTCTTGTCACCCATAAGGGAATATAACCCAAAATACAAGCATTAGTCCAGGAATCCTCTTATAGACTAAAGAAAAATTCAATATCTCATTTAGCTTTTGAGTTGTTTTTAATTTGATTTTAACTATATCTAATTTAATGCCCAATTTGTGCTTTACAAAATAAAGCTGAAACATAATTATTTTTCAATTCTTGTTGCAGTTCAGTGCATAGCATGCCAGGAAAATAGCATGATGAATGAAAGCTATTTTAGACCATGGTAGGAGCTCAAAGAAACAAATCCACAGACTCCATAGCAGCATATTTTCTGCTCACTCTAAATGTCAATAGAAATAACATTATACCACCTTCTATTACACCACTGCATTGTTCGCTGTCCTAAAATATTTATGATGGCATACACTGCAAAAGATATGTCCTGAAACAGGTCCCTGCTGAATTGAAAGATGTTTTGTGGTTAAAACCACAAATGCTCCAAGTCAGAATCACATGCTATGGGCCCACATATGGATCATATGGAAACAACAAAAACAATTTTGCAATCCTTTTCTTAAGATATTAAAGAATGGACACCCTCCTGAGGCTGTTCATACGCACCTCACTCTCTTTCTCTTTCTCAGCAATTTCAGTCGTCTCCTCATCCCCTGCCTCAACATTGTCCTGTATAAAAAGAAAATATGGTCATAACACTCATGTAAAAGTTTTAGCAGCTGAGAAATTGGTATTAACTTAAAGGAAGAAGGATGTGTGCTAGAGGCAATGACATGAATGGCTGGAGTCCAATGGTATAACATATGGAAACGTGTTCAGATATTATTTGGAAAACAAGCCATTCTTATTATGATATAGCTTCAGCAACTCATCATCATGGGTGGAAAAACAAAAGCTTCATGTCTAAAACCTACAAAACTGACTAGTTTTCTTTCAAATTTTAAGATGTTTTTTCCCATCAGTGCTACCCTTGAATGGTTTTTGATACGTACATAACCCAGAGTACCACTGATACTTTGGATTATAAGAATCTCAGACTTCTCCCACAGCTATATCTAATTATTTCCATGACTCCCTCCTACCCCTGAGACCTAACAACATGTTAAACATGAATGTTCCTCGTGGAACTTCTCAATAATGGTAGGTTTTTTTATGTGCACCCTCAACATTTTGATACCTTCACATTTAAAGGTACTATGCAAAAAAAAGAGGTTGTGATACAGAAAGCACTGTTTTCCCTCATTAAGCTACTAGTCGAGGTTCTGATTCAGTACTTTTTCAGCAGTGCCTAAAGCTAAAAAACTAAAGCTTATACTTTGGTGAATAAGGGCCTCAGATGTATGCAAAAAGGTCTTGGGTGAATTCGTTTTTAATTGTGTAAACAGACTGCTGTCTTGGCTTCCCAGGCTTGTTATTTTTTTTACAGAACAAATAGCACCTAATACTCTATAGGAGGGGAAAAAGTGCTGTTGGAAAACAGATGAGCAGAACAGTTCTCCCAGACTTCCACTGGACAGATATTTCCTGGCTGTTTTCCAATTTGGTTATCATGTGCACAGTTTTAATACCAATGCTGGGTCCACTGTAAAAAGACTTTTCTCCCAAAAGCCAGCTATGCTGGAAGAAACCCTTATATAGGTTACATATTGTTAGCAGTTTTTTCGTGTGCTTTCAGAAGATGGCTGTAACGAACCAGCATGACGTGTGAACGAAGAGTCATGCTGAGCTATACCTTTGTCTCAAAATAGTTACAAGCGCTAATGTGGACTGGACCGTGGTTAACTGCCTTCACAAGCCTGTAACTGTTGCCCCCAAATTTCATAGGCTTCATTTGAAATGGCTGGATATTTCTTTTTTAATAAAGGGATGCTGCGTTATTTCAGAACTTCATATCAATCATGCTTGTTTCTAATCTAACCTTCTAGTATTGCCTGCAGTCACATCATAAGCCCTAAACATGTCCAGATGCCAGGGCAAGTCAATTGCTGTCAGCAGCGTTACTATGGAAACCTCTCACAGCTTTATCCTGTTAAAATTATAGCGTTATATAACCTTTTTTATTATTATTAATTCTCCTTTGAAGCTACCAAACCTACTGGTTTGTATCTTGCATTTTCACACTAAGTTTGAGGGAGAATGTCGGGTGTACGAACATACGGACAAATACTGATCATAAAAATGATAATTTCATGCTCAATGTCCACACGCAAAAGTCAAATACAATTTTCTTCTGAGTAGACTATAATAGATTTCTTTTCTCTTGATCATAAAAGCTATGTCTCAAACTGACACTTTGGCTGAGTAGTACTCTCCCTATTTATGGACTTGGAACCTTCTAAATTTATATCAGCATATAAATTTTCCAGGTCAACTTAACTTCAGAAGTGACAACTCTACATATCATTCTGCGCTCATCTAGAGACCCGACTTTGTTGTACTTGACCCCTTTTCTTTATTAATGAAACCAAAACCAAACTGCAGTATTCTGCAGCAGGGAGGCAAGCAGCACCATTCATGCTTCAGTGTCTCTCACTGTCTCCCTTCCTTATTGCATCTTCAAATCAGGAAGAGTCAGGCACATGAGTGCCAGAAATTGTGTCTATAAGTTGATAAAACCATAATTAGGGACCCTCAAAATGTGACTCAATATATGCTGTACTCATTCAGTGCTTGCAAGGAACTTCTCTGGATAGAGGTCTGAGCAGAGCAAAGAAAATAAAATAAAATGTGTTAGTCTTGGACTAGTTTAATGGGGGAAAAGATTGCTGGCTTTAGTTTTGAGACATTGGAAAGTCTTTTTTAATCTTAATGATCTATTAATAACTCTAATAAACATTACGAGAGTGTATCTAACATGTAAGACGGTAAGGAATGGATACAGCATGGCTTATTCATATTCATATACTGTATTGTACCCTTCATTCCTGATCCTGTTTCCTTTTCTTCCAAGATGGAGAAGAATATATTGAACATAAAATACTTCTATATTATTTGGTGACATGCACAGGGAAAAAAAAGTGCTGTTGGAAAACAGATGAGCAGAACAGGTCTCCCAGACTTCCACTGGGCAAATATTTCCTAGCCGTTTTCCAATTCGGTTATCATGTGCACAATTTTAATACCAATGCTGGGTCCACTGTGAACAGACTGGCTAAATTAGTGCTTATCCTCCCCACATATGCAAGAAGATAGGTTCATTTGCCCTGTGACATGCCCAAAGAATACAAAGTCAAAGTCTGAATGTGAAAAATTCTTATGGTAAAAAGAATATTTTTAATCAGAAGAAGGAAGACCTCAATGGCTCATGCATTATGCACTTTTTAACATATTATTCTACATCTATTTTGAGGGTTCTTCTCTTGTATACTTAATTCTCCCCTAAACACATCATTAATGTGGTGGAGCCACACAACTGCTTTATTGTTGACACTTTCCAGGTCCTCATCCTGGGTATGCTGATATGTAAGGAGGTGGTCAGCAGTCTGTGGTGCCTCACTACACTCACATATTGGTCTGTCCTTTAAGCCAATCTTACAGAGTATAGCGTTAAAGTGTCCAGCTCCAGAGCAATCCTGTTTTGTTTAATCGATAAGTCACAGGGGAGCTCATACCCAAGTGGATAGGGTGTTGGGTTGTTTATGAAGTGCTTGAGGTGAGACTCAGTCTCATCCCACTTTTTGTGGTATTGTTCAAGTGCCCACAGGGTGTCACTCCTACCTCCACACTGTTGCAACAGTACCCATGCCTCCCGTCTAAATAAGTTTCTGGACTTCAGTCGCTTATGTACTGGTTGCTCTAAGACTTCATGAAGCAGGTGCTTTTGGTTTTGCTGGGTGTGTTGAGTGAGGCCAAGAGTTACCTTCTGTCTTCTTAGATGGGGAGGTAATTTCCCTGATGGTACCAACAGGATATATGTTTTACACCCCATTACTATTCTCATTGAATTCAGAGCAACATCAACTTTGCTGGTGTGGCTACTACGCCCCCATAATTGACAGCCATATTCAGCAGGTGTGTATACTACTGCAAGTGTTGATGTCCTTAGGGTGGTGAAACTGGCTCCTCAGGTTGTTCCTGCCAGTTGTCTTATAGCGGCAATAGTGTGATATACCAATAGTAACCTACCTCTTTTGGGCAATACATAGAAATGATGACAGCACTGTGTCCAAATAGCTGTATTAATGCTCAGCTTGCCCTTCTTATATCACAAAAAGCTAAAGATGCTTCTACTTTTCCTAATGCTAAGTCTTTTGAGCCCTGCTGGAGAAAAATACAT